CGTTTTGCTTATGTTTTATATCAGTTATGACATGTCAAGATTTAAAAGATACTAATGTGGAACACTTCTACGGAAATGTTCGGTATTAATATTATCTCACATCAAAATTATATTTTTGGTATACGTTTTCGCACTAATAAAATACTATGTTTTTAAATAAGCATAAAAAATTTGTCGTGAAAATGGGGATGTCACAGTTTTCTACTGCTTATGTGGGCTTAGGGTGCTGGCTCCCTCGCCCTAGAACGGATTACCATCGGAGTGTCTGGATTGAGCCATCGGCTAGGGGTGGTGGCTCCTTAGTCAAGACTTTTCATCTATAAGTTGGACTTTGAGATTGACTTGGGTTAGGGATAGTTACATGCATTTCATTATCCATCAGAGTGCCCGGCATGAAGTTTTATATATTGATTTATTGATCGGATTATCATTTCCAAATGGTTTGGAACTCATATGAGTATTATTTGATCTATATGATCTTGTTAGAATTTTGATTATTGAGAAGTTTTAATTGATGTGAGACGTTTTTATTTGAGTTACATTTACCTTATATTTTATATTTACTTGTGAAGTTTATATGAGATTTGTTATAAATGACAATGTACTTTGAATGTCATATTTTACCCGAAGCTAACTTTTGATGTTGATTTTGTTATTTTAAGAAGATACGGGTGTGTACATTGGTGTATGAACCAAAGTGTTTATTCATACACCATCTGTAATGTCTGACCATGGGATCGTACTCACTAGGCTCCTCATAGCCTAACCCACTAATTGACAAATTTTTGTAGGTTAGTAGATATTTTTAGAAGCTTAGAAGACTTAGAAAACTTTGGTTTGTAATGACCTCATAACCCTTCCTTTTGATATCTTTTGTCACACACTCGCATGAAATGCTTAATTAAAGCATAAATGTGTTTGAAACTTTTATTTGGAACCGTTATCCGCATTTGAACTTTGTAAAACATTTGATTTATAGTGTCGGACCGTTTTCCGCAAATTAATACTCTGAAATTATTTTAAAAGATTTTATTAAAGGATATTTCAAATAGGCCCATTCGAGGGGTGTTACACATTAGCAATCTAACTCAATCTATTTATTTATTAAAAAAATCTCTTTATTCCTCACATACAAGTTATGTAACTAAAAACAATCTTTTACACCAATTAGCAATCCAACCTAACCAAATTTTATATTAAAATTTTATATCCATATTGGTTGATTTTTGTAGAAAAAAAATTATGTATTTCAGTATAGTCTTTTGATTCTTTACCAAAGATAAAATATAGATATTAACTAAATTTGTTTTAAATATAAATATTAATTTAAATCCATCTATCTGAAGAGGACACATGACAAATCAACAACTAAAAAGGCACGAACCTTTAGTGAACTAGTTTGTTGCAGCAGCCTAGGAATGGCACAACATTTTTTTTTTAGAAAACGATGTGAAATGTACAAACACATTAAGGAATGGGCGGTGACTCCATAGAACGGGAAGGACATGTGTAACATCCCAAAAATACTAAGGAAAAAAATTTTATTTTAATTAAACAAAACCATCCACCATATATCTCAAAAACCATCAATGTATGTCATAGTCAAAAATAGTTATCAGAGTACAATCCCAAAATCATAAAATGTTGGACACAGGTGGATGCACTGCGATCAGGTCAGTCCCTTCTCTTTCGAACCAGAAGTACTTGAAACATAAACTTAAACCGCAAGCACAAAGCTTAGTAAGTTCCCCAAAATACCACATACCATACTCGCATAACGGGCCCCGCCCAATGAGTATAACGGGCCTCGCCCTAACTCACATAATGGGTCCCGCCCAATGAGTATAATGGGTCTCACCCTAACTCGCATAATGGGCCCCGCCCAATGAATATAACGGGCCTCACCCTAACTCACATAACAGGCCCCGCCAACATATAAAACATACAAGTATCACACAGACAACTAGTATCCTACAAACATAATCTAGTGGGTCGATATTGGTGCCTTCGACCCACGAGTACAGTGAAGAGACTCACCTCAATCCAATGATAAGCAAATTACACACACTCGAACTATTGCTACAACGGCTCCTCACACTGATTACATCCAAACCAACCCAAATTATTAAAGGTCCAAATCACAATCTATCATACTAAGGGTAAAAGATGATTTACCCTTCTCATAATTGGCCCAAAAACTATGGCCCAAAACCCAATATAATCCAAGGCCCAAAATGGCCCAAATGCCCCTCAAGTGAGTACGTCAGTCGTATTAACCCATTACGCGTAACGTACTAGTCTTAACATCAAAGGGAAATCGGGGGGTTGGACACGTTACGCCGAGCGAACCTAGAGGGTACACCCAGCGTAGTCCCATGATGCCCAAAATCCTTATTAAGCACTTAATACCTAAAGTCTAAATGTCTAATTCATAGATCTAGCTCTTGGAAATGTCTTAACTGATAAATTTGTCAAGTTAAGGCCTTAGCATGGCTCAAAGAAGCCCAAAACCAAACTCTAACCTTCTAACTTCATATTATGAACAACTCATGCATGGTTAAACCAAAGCCATCAAGATACGATTTTTATGTACAAGGGACCTCAAAAACATCAAGAAATATTAACCTAAGTTTCTGGAGTAGCTTATACTCACAAGAATCAACCCATGGGACCAAAATATGCCAAAACCTAAGCTAAACTAGATCTAAGCAATGAATCATGAAGGTTGAGACTATATACCTTATGGATGATGATGAAGGAGATTAGAATCGAGATCTACAAGCTCAAAGCTAACCAATAATTCTCCAATGAGCTCCTTCTTCATCAATATGCACCAAAAACACACCAAATCACACAAAGGGCTCAAGAATCTCACAAATGGGGCTAGGGTTTCGAGGGGACTACTTTAGAGGATGGAAGATGGAGATAAGAAGGGTTTCCAAGGGGTTAAGGACTTTAAATAGAGTCCAAGACCCAAAAATTAGGGTTTGCCTCTGCCACGAGTACGTCCAGCGTACTCAAGAGGAACTCACGACTAGGTTTAATGATTTACGCCCAGCGTAACTCTCAATTACGCCCAGTGTAATGTCCTTCCATGCAACATAATTAAATATTTAAACTTAAGTATTTACCTGGAAACTAGGCGTTAACATGGTTGAAAAATACGATAAGTATTGGCGCGGCCTTGAAAAATTAAATGACTTTTTTGTATTTTGCGGTCATTTTAGATCCATGGATCAAGCCTGATTTTCTTCAACAGGCCTTTGAGAAGTTGATTAAGTTGAAATGTACACAAAAAGATCCCATACTCAACTCGGAAGTCAGTTTCAAGGCTAAGGCCTTAATATGGGGCCTTGAAAAATGATTTGAGGATTTTTTTTTATTTCTACAAATAAAGTTTGACAATACCGACTCTTGTCAAAAGTCAAACACATGGTCATAAAGATGTAGTTGTGATTGATGACGAGAACGAATTCATGGGTGATTTAATAGTACAAACAGATTACCCATCGACACCAATGGAAACGGAGTTGACACTATACCTAAACGAGCAGTCAGTTAAATACAATAAAGATTTTGATATTCTACTTTGGTGGAAACAAAACGCATCTCGTTACCCTATTGTACCCCGTATGGCGAAATGTATAACTTTACTATTTGTGTACTTTTATAATTATATTTTAACATTTTCTATGTTTATGTTGATAGATATTTTGGGATTGCAAATCTCTACCGTGGCGTCAGAGGCGGCTTTTAGTGCAAGCGGACGGATATTAGATCCATACCGAACAAATTTGTCCGCAAATATAGTAGAGGCTTTGGTTTGCACCCAAGATTGGGTAAGGAAATCAAGAAAGCCAATTGTGAACAACATTGATGAAATTTTGAAAGACGATGAGGTCGCGAAACCTATAGAAGAGACGATAAACAATGGAGGTGGAAAGGAAAAACAACCAATCAATATTCTCGAATAGTTAATATGTGTTTGACAAATGTTATTTTAAATATGGTTAAAAACTTAAGATTCATATTTTATTTTGCTGTTGAATGTTTAATGTTTAACTTATATACTTATATATGGATTTTTGAGTGTTTTGGGTATTTAATGTTTAGTGTTTAGTACGTTGCTTCATAACTATATCTCAAGATTTTGATGCTTGGATATTACCTTCTTATATCTCAAGAATAGTTAATTCGTGTTTACATTCTTACTACACAAATTCTAACATTTTTTTGCATATTTGAAACAATTATGGATACTTTGCATTATTTTTAATTAACAAATTTGTTTCTTTAAAAGATTTGTTATGGAATCATAAGCTACAAAAGTCATAAAAATACAATATTTATAATCATACTGTAAATGTTGTTCGGGTTATTCGGACTATAGAATCCTAATACGGTTTATTTGGTTCTTTTCGGTTATATTAGGTTCTTAATCATTTTGTACATGTTATTCAGGTAATAACCGAACCGAACTGATTAATACATGAACCGAACCGAACCCATATTAGTTATTTGGTCCGGTTTTTGGTTCATGCAATTACTCTTATTCAGTTTTTGGGTTCGTGTCCAGTTCCGACCCGAATAACATCCCTAGTTGTATATAGGCTTATTAAAAATGCCTTCCATTATCTCCTTTCATTCCCGTTTTACACAAACGATCAACCATTGTAAAGATTATCGTTAGTATAGTATTTTTGAAAGTGGTTTTTTCCCGTTTTAAGTTTTTCCACTATAAATCCAAAGTATGTTTATATGTTCTTTTTGTTTTGTTCATTACAAATTCTATACCACATTAACCGGGCTCCTAGCTTTATGAAGGTTGTTCATCCATGTCAATGATTCGAACAGAAAGCTACCATTGCTACTTATAAGCTTCAAAATCAATCTTGTAACTCGTCTTAATTCTCCCCCGACATGTCAATGATCCAAACTCAAAGCTACTATTACTACACTTAATATCTAACTAAATTCAAGTATATATACACGAGAGACCCCTAAATCTGTACCACATTAACTGCAATCGGACTCCTAACCCTATGAAGGTTGTTCATCCATGTCAATGATCCAAACTCAAAACTACCATTGCTACTCTTATAAGCTTCAAAATCAATCCTGTAAGTCATCTTCTCCCCCGATTTCTGAAAGCTTATAACATTAGGGTAAACCGAAGCTTTTACTCCTGTAATATCTAATATCGAATAATAAACTGCCGGGCCTTTCCCAATGTAAGTAACTGTCCTGTACACCGACAAATTTCCAGTCAGATTAGCGACACCAATCGATGGATAGTTGAAGTTGTAGGAGGCTGTGGGAGGATTCTTGCAGTAAACTGGTGTTGTGGTCAAGTTCTTGAGTTGTGAGAGAGTTGCACCGCTGCTGCAAAGGAGGTTGATGAGATCATTGGTGTCAAAATCGTAAATAAGTCCAGGGTTGACTGCTGCAATCGGATCTATATGTCCTGATCCATAATCAAAAGGCGTTGCTTCTGTAGAATCGTTGTTTTTAATGAGGTCTCCGGTGTTATCAGTGATGGTAGCTGCAAGAAAAGTGATTATAGATAGAGAATTATACAACAAGAAAAGATGGCTTTCTTAGTTCTTAAGGATATGGATACAAATGCAAAGATTTTATTATTTGCTTTTTTACCCTACAAAGTATTGCTATTTGGAGAACTGAAAACAAAAAAAAAAAAACAAAAAAAACAAAAAAACAAAAAAACAAAAAAAAAAAGGTAAATGAAGACCAATTAGTGGAAGCCTTTTTTTCTCATACTTTCCCTATTAAGTTATACTTTTTTCATTAACCTATACAGAAACACTTATATATAGTTTGCTAGATCAATTAATATCCATATTAAGTGCATTTAAGTCAAAAAGAAAGCACTGAACAAAGGATAACCTGTTGTCATTATTGAAGATTTAATCATGGCAGGGGTCCAATTCGGATGAACCGATTTTAAAAGTGCTGAAACCGCAGCAACATGTGGACATGACATAGATGTGCCCGAGATCATGTTATAGTCGAGGCTGTTGCCAGCAGTGCCATCTGTCGCCAAAGGTGACCATGCGGCCAAAATATTCACTCCCGGGGCAGTTATATCTGGCTGCAATTCAAATTTACAACCATCATGTATTAGAATTCAATTTGATTTGTTAAAAAAATCTTATAGAATAGAATAATACAAACTTTGATAATGTCAGGAGTTATTATGTTCGGTCCCTTGGAGGAGAAAATCGCCATGACTGGTGATGGTTTAATCCCAACATGTGTTACTGTTTGGTATATTCTAGCTGTTGAGTTCCTTGGATCATGATGCAACATTAACCATTAGATCATAATTGAGATCTTATATTGTTCTTTATATAGAGAATACATGATTATGGACTTACTTGAAGGTGTTCATGTATGATTGAAGCTCTTGAGCTTCTTCTTGACCAATTGAAACGCTTGGAAGTACAGATTGAAAGAGAACGTCTTTCCGAAGAGGGTCATCAACGAGGATCATCCCGGCACCACCACCTTCTTTTATTGCATTTGCCTTTTCGTTTTTATCATCAAATAATGTCTCAAGCGTACACACTACGATCTTCCCCTTGATCAGGTTTGAATCCAAGGTATTTCTCTTGCAAAAGCTAGATAAGAGGAGCGAAAACAGCAAATTATTGTTTGTTGCCACAAAAATGCATAGCAATCATTTAACGAAATACTGATCAGCAAATGAGTTCTGACATTTGGATGTTTGTCTTTTGCGACGATTCTGAATTAAAAGTGTCGCTTGATAAGTAGATGCCGAAGAGTGTCTAGTTATGTTATGTTCATTTTTAGTACTATTTTTTCTACCCATTAAAGCATATGTCATTCATGAGTATTGGATAGGAAACATACGACTTCACATATCTAACATGGTATCAAAATAAGAACTCAACAAACGTCTAATCTAACATGGCATTAAATCTGACTCTCGATGACTCAACACGTCAAGTCTAATCTTGTTTTTATCCTCTACCCCAGGCATGTTGGTGTTCCACACTGGCTAGATATGGTCCCATTTATCATACATATCTAAATTTCTTTAGTTTTTTTACCCTTTTTGGGTTGCCAATGTTTTAATTTTAGTGTAGTTGATAAGTTCATTAGAATACCTTGCATTTCTAGAAGGGGTGTCGAAAGCTGCAGCATGACTCCCGAATATCAAACGATATTGTTTCCCATGATCCGGTGTGGTGTTTACACTAAAACCCTTCAATTGTTTATGATTTCCAAGAACCACATACGACGGAAACTCACGATCAATTGTGCTAGCGGCTACAGTGAGGATCCACGGGGCAACATTGCCCACCGTGCTTGGAAAAATACTGTTCCCACCAGACGCACATACCACAATCCCCTTCTCAAACGCATGAAATGATCCAATCGAAAACACGTCCTCAAAGTAAATCGGTTGGGGTGGGATTGGACCGAGAGATAGAGAAATAACATCGACACCATCATGTATGGCATCATCAATTGCTGCAAGAATGTCGGCCTCTTCGCAGTCATTGAACCAACAAGCTTTGTAGATGGAAAGTCTAGCACTTGGTACGCCTCCTGTGGCAGTGCCCGAAGCTAGCCCGTATAAACTGACGCTTGAGACTTTTGATCCGGCAATAGTAGAGGCGGTGTGGGTCCCATGGCCATCAGTATCTCGGACCGATCGGAAGAAAGTACGGTTGAAGTTCTCTAGAGGTCCTCTTATCGCTTCGAATGCTTTTGAGTAGTACCTAGCTCCTATTATCTTCCTGCAAAAAGTGTCGCAAAGGATGACTATTGTGACAAATAAACTTCTGTCACTATATCTAGCGTTACTAGTTTTAACAGGAACTTGTTGTTTACCTGTTGCAGTTGGATTGTGTGAAATTTTGTCCCACAACACATTCTCCCTTGAACTTCATTGGTACAGGCCCCAATCCATAGTCATTGAAGCTTTCTGATTCCAGCCAAACGCCTAAATTAATTGGGTATAAATTTTTATCAGTGATGAACTTTTTCTGGTCATTAAAAGGAATTAGTGTTTGTAACATGTACCTGTGTCAACGACACCAACAATTACATTTGATTTTATATCCATGGGAAGCTTGTTATATTGTGGAATAGAATCTACTCCTAGAAATTTCCATGACTTAGTCGTATGTAATTGATTCATTTTGCTCTCGAAGACTGAAACAACATCTTCGTTTTCTGTGATGCAACAAAGTTATAATCCGTTTGGGGAGATTACTTAACCGTCGAAAAGATAATAGTAGAGTATGTTTATTCTAGACCCGTTAAACAAAATCTTTATCATTTTCTGTGATCTAAATCTAATCACATTATATATCTTATTCCAGAAAAGATTTATCAAACAGCCCCTTAATGACAAAAAATTGTTTTGCGACAAAGTATGGGGGAATAGATTGACACAAAACTTTGCTATTTCTATGAAACCTGAAAGTCTCGTTGCTTGATCAGGTGTAAGCATAGCTGAAAAACCTCTGAAACTTTTAGTATAATGATGGATTGATGCTTCTTTTGCTCCATTATAACTGCAAAAGAAGAGCCGCATCATAAACTCAAGTTTTTATTTATGGGTCCCATGGATGATGGGGCCCATAAAAGATAAGAAAGAATAAAATTGGACAGATACAATTGCTCCAGTCATATGATAAATAAACGAATTTATACATGCTTGCCTTTCAAGAAGTGGTGCGAGCAATTCATGGTTGGCTGTGACGACTGACTCTGAGCTCGGATGCGAGTGTTGTCCCATGTAGACTATGTAATGCTATAGATCAAGAAATACAAGTTCAATGCTTTTGCAAGCTATAGCAAAAACAATGCTTATACTATCATAAAAAAAAATAAATAAATAAATAAATAAAACTGTAATTCTATGTATAATAGTATAAATTTGAAGAGAGAACATGTTACCTTTCTGTTAGTTCCATGGCCGAACACAAGTGTAACCAGGAAAAAGAGACCGAAAAGTCCTGTTGATTTCATGTTTTGTCGAAAAGTCTTGTTGCAACCAGGGTGAATGATTGCGGTTTTTAAATGACAAAAACAAATTGGAATTGTAGACTTTTGACAAAGTGGAGTCGTCTAGAATTTAATAGCCACAAGAAAAAAAGAAATTTCCAAAAGAACTTGTAATTCTTTAAATGAAACTTTAAGAAGATAAGTCGAAGGTAGGCATCAATGAACCGGCTTTTGTTTGTATCCAAAGAAAACTGTATTATGATTGTTTATTTAATAAAATAATCATATTATCGAAAACATGATCACAATATTTTATAATGACAACTAAAATTTTAATGGAGATATGAGACAATACAATGATAAAATTAGATATTGTTTTGATTTTAAATAAAAATCTTTTATACATCTTGGGTCATATAAACAAAATTTAACAATCGTGTATTTAATATCACTATATGATGGAAAATTGGAAATGTTAAAACAGTTAACATTATTTCGGTCAAAGTTGTAATGCTACTCGATGCATCTTGTCAAAATTGACTCTTACCAATTAATTTGATTTAGCTTTTGAAGAAACCAGTATAACTTGTATGATTACAACAATAAGTATATAATCGATAAAAAAAATTCTTAAATATTCACAGTATATAACTCATTTTAAATTAAACAAAAATTATATAATCAGTATAGCTTTAAGATTTTCAATTTTATGATCACAAAGCTTTTTTTTTTAATATGCAGCTCAGTTGGCAGTTGGTGCGGGTCTTCAGATGAGTGCAAAAAACTAGGATGCAAATTCCGATTTCTCACTTAATTTATGTAAATGATGCTATTATGTTGTGCCTATGGGAGGTGGAGAATGCCATAAGGATTGTTTGTATTCTTAGATGTTTTTTTCTTGCGGGGGTTGAAGATCAATTTGAAGAAAAGTAAATTGATTGGTGTTGGTGTAGCTTCTTCTATGGTTGAGGCTACGATTGCGCTTGTTGGGTGTGGGGCTGCTACTTTGTATTTTGTTCAATTGGGGATTACGGTCGGTCATCAGGAGAACTAAGTAGGTGTTTGATCTACAATGTTGGATCGATTTAGGAAGAGGCTTTTGAGGTGGAAGACGAGGTCGTTATCTATTGGATGGCGTCTTACTTTACTGAAGTCAGTCGTGTGGTCAGTTGGGACATACTTCATGTCGATGTTTCTGGCTCCTGTTACGGTTCTTTGTTCCTTAGAGTCTCTTAGGGCTTGGTTTTTCTGGGGAGCCAACCTAGGAGAGAGACACATATGTGTTGGTCATGTGGAATAGAATGTTAGCTAGTGTAATATCCTAAAAACCATGATGAAAATTTTTCATTTTTACAAAAAATTTCCACAAAACCATAAGATAGTAAATCATTGTTTTCAAATCAAATCCATAGAATCAGAGTATCAAAAATCTCCCAAAACATGAATTAGCAAGAGGATATTTACGATCACGTCTCCGCCTTCCTACAATCACCAATGGTACCTAAAAAAACATTTATAAACAATTGGGTAAGCACGAAGCTTAGTGAGTTCCGTCAAAATACCCATACAACAATACATACACAGTACATGCACATCGAGCCCACGGTATAAAACTAGATTGTCGCTGGGCCCACAGTCTCCCAACTGGATTGCCCCCGGCCCACAGTCTCCCGACTGGATTGCCCTCGGCTCATAGTCTTCCAACTGGATTGCCCCCGGCCCACAGTCTCCCGACTGGATTACCCTAGATCCACGGTCTCCGACTGGATTACCACCAGGTTTGTTGGCCTACAGCATAAAGTCATACAGCCTCAACCCAACCTCACTATGTTGACATATACAAACAATAACCAATAACCAACTAGTACAGGTAATCATAAAGATCTACCAAGCTAGCAGATCACTACAACATAGCAACATCCTATACACAAAGTTTGTGACATCCCCAAAATCACGGTCAGAAAAGACCGGTTTAATTTATGCTTTTTAAATAAAATCAGAGTAATCCTTTGATTAAAAGAGTTGCGGAATTTGTTCCCAAAACAAATATGATAAAATAATATTTACCAAAGCATTTCATAAAGAAATGTATTTTCATTATATAGCAAAACCTCGGGATGTCATGTTCCGATACAGACCAAAAGCATAAACGGCACATTATAGGCCTTACAACAGTTATATGCAACTACTGGCCTATAAACAAAATAACTTGATGATTCATCCATCTTATGCTCTCGCGCCACTACCTGTAATGCAAATAAAACTGAGTGGGTCAGGCTTGGGAGCCTGGTGAGCATATAGGGTTTTCAACCCACAATAAATAATTATATTTAATTTTACCAACCAACAATAACCCGATTACTCATTCCCGTTATCCTCACTTTATGTCCCTAAAACAACAACTATTACAAGGGACCTAATCTAGGATTTTCATTGGGACGGACATTACTGAAAAGGGGTTTCCTTAGCAATAGATGTCCTACAGGCAACCATGAGGGGGATAGAGTACACCGGTGAACACATCGTTCACAACACCTACAGGTTATGAACCTGCCAGCGTTCCACTGGACTGTCTAGAAAGAGTCTGTGGTCGTCATCCATACTCCGCTAGATGACTAGATTAACAACATCAACATCGACATCGAGGCCTCTCATCATTTTTATTTCATCACACACCAACTGTCTACCCATGTTCTACCCAACATATTAGTAGATAAAATATATACATTTATATACAGCTTAAAACCTGTACAAACATCCATTCAACAACTAGTTCAAATAACCAAATAATATATACACACATAGCACGTATTTATAAAGAATACTGCATATCTATGTGTTAGAAGAAAACGAATATACACTCACTTGATCAGAAGATGATCGGACAGCACTACGGCTCTAAAAGTAGTATTCTTCGGTGAAACCGGGAGATCTTCACACACCGGGCTTCTCGCAAGCAGAGCTTCGGCTCGGAAACTCTTTTCTTCTCGGGATCTTCGGGCTTCGGGACTCGCTTCGGGTCTCGGGATGATACCGGGGTTTTGGGGGGTTAAAATAGGGCTTAGAGAGAGTATCGGGAGTGAGAGAGAAGAGATTGAGCAACCAAACTCGGCTGCCCCTTCAATTCTATTTATAGGGCCATTTTTCAGCTCTCACGTCGTGAGTTTTAAGTTCTCACGTCGTGAACTTAGTCGTCACTGCATGCATCATCACAGGTTGCGTCTGACATGCTCTGAAAGGTCAAATCACTGAGTTCACGTCGTGAACGTTGTATTCACGTCGTGAACTCTGACACAGTATCGGGGTTCGCGCCCCGAACTTCAGAAATTCATAACTTTCGCATACGAGCTCCGTTTTCGACGTTCTTTATATCGACGAGTAGGTGAGATTATGCTCTACAACTCTCGTTTAGACTCTGTCGGCTAATTTTGACTTTATTTTTATTATATTTTTATTATATTATTTTTAGTAGGCCTGGACAGGAAAACTCTGTTATAAATTCATAACTCCTTCATCTGAAGTCCGTTTTCGTCTGTATTTTCACCGTTGGACTACTATCGACGAGATCTTCAATTCTCGTTTAGATTGTTTCGACTAAATATCGCTCGATCTCATATTCGAACTTCGGGTTGTACACTGCTAAGCTGAAACTTAGAAAAATCATAACTTCCTCATACGAAGTCAGATTTAGACGTTCTTTTTATGCACGCTCTCGGTTTAACGTATTCCACGACTTTCGTTTAGATCACCAAGGCTAGATATCGCTCTATCTTAAATTCGTATTTTACGTCATTCAGCGCCGTGACGGTTCTGTCGCGAAACTTCGACAGGTCATAACTTCTTCGTTATAACTCGGATTTCGGCATTCTTTATATATTCGGAAACCTCGTCACGACCACTACGACTTCCTTCATAGATATCGGGCTTATCTAATATTTTATTTTATCGCTTATTTTTATCCTTAATTCACTTAAATCACACAATTAAGCAATAAACACATAATACTCAAATAATACATTCTTATTATTTCAAAACGAGTTACAAATGTTAACCTAGACTATTACATCATCATTAATGACAAGCCCAGAAACACTGGCGTTACAAAGTTGTTAGGGGTATTATTATGGAATCGATTATACGCTCGGTTTGTTAAACTCCATTGGAGTATGTTAACCATATTTTCGTTGGTTGTACAAAGTTGGTGGATATTTGGGGTCGTATTGATATTTAGTGGGACGTTTAGAATCCTAGTCTGGTCACATTACATTCGGTAGACTTGGAGGCTCTTTCATTTCCCTACTTTGTTATAGGTGCGGGTCGTTAAGACCTGACCTGTGTTGGATAATTCTAGGGCCTCTAAGGTTCCCTGGAATAGCATTATGCGCTCGATTGGGTAGTTGAGAGATTAGGGTTTGATTTTAGAGCTATTGTCTTGTTTGTGTTGGTAATGGGTCTTGCACTTTTTTTGGCATGATTGGTAGATTGGGGCGGTATTTGGCTAGGTATTTCCATACAAATTTTGCTTTGGGTCTCCACACGGAGAGTATGGTCCAACATTGTTTATCTATGGGATGGTCAGTTGATACCCTTAGGCGGTGTCGTGGGGTGGAGCAAGAGCAATGTGATAAGTTTCTTAGTCTGGTGCAATGGGTGCGTTTTAAGGATCATGTTGATAGGTTGATGTGGTTGCTTAACGTGTCAGATTCTTTCTTTGTTTCTTCTGCTCGTTTATTTTTGGATAATGGTATGTTGCCTAGTGAAGGGATGGAAACTTGATGGAAAATTTGGGTTCCTATAAATTTAAATATCATGCGATGGTGGATTTGGTTTATCTCGACTAGGGAGACACTTTTTGTTAGGGGTATTATTATGGAGTCGGTTATATGCCCGGTTTACTAAACTCCATTTGAGTATGTTGACCATATTTTCATTGGTTGTACAAAGTTGGTGGATATTTGGGGTCGTATTGATATTTAGTGGGACGTTCAGATTCCTACTCCGGTCATGTTACATTCGACAGATTT